GTCTTTTTCTTCACCGTTATCCATTATGTGACTTATGACAGCACCTAATCCATAGCCCGATGAATCACAGGCAAGCTTTAGTGTTCTACTGGTATCATAGTGGACCAAAACATCAGTATAGGTTGACAACTCTTTATCCAAAATTCCAAAAACCGAAAAGCTCTAAAAAGCGAAAAAAATATTTGTGGTCATTTTTTTTTTTTTAAACAGGGATTAGCCCACCCGGGCATAGATCACTGACACACATCGGGGCCTGGCGGGCGAAAATGTAATAGTAATAATTATAATAATTATTCATAGTAAATACAGGTTGTACCTCTCTAGTCCGGCAACCTCGGGACCTGACCGGTGCCGGACCATGGAAATTCACACTTTTCCTGGATAGATAGTGACTTGTGCTTATGCTTGGAAGCACTAGCACCACTTTCTCTGCATCATGGTCTCTTTGAAGACATATTGAAGGGCTAAATGTCGTATAGTAGCTTCTCAAATTTCGCGAGTTTTTAATTCTTAACGTATTTTATTGGAACACACAAAAAAATAAATAAATAAAAATTTTGACGGCGGAAACTTGAATTTCGACGGGTTTGAACGGCCCGCCAACGTGCAGACGACGGGCATAATCGTGTAAACAGCGTCATTTCTCTTATGTACAAAAGATTCATTATTGTTTATTACTGAATGTCTTTTTTAATGAATTAATGTTTATGTGTGCAAAATGAGCAATACAATTCATTAATAATACGTAGAATATTAAAACATACGAGGAGACGAGACAGCATTGTTTTTGTTGATTACAAAACCAGTGACTGACTGGTTCTATATATAAAACTGAAGAAAATAAGACCTTGGCTGTAGCTGTAGTAAAATTAATATGGTTGTTTTAAGTAATGTTATTTAATGTTAATAAATGGATCAATATAAGTAGCTAACCATTAATGGTAAAAAAAAAAGTGAGACTGCTCGTATGTAAGTGCGCACATGTGAAAATATATCGTCATTACTCTACATAAGAATATGAAAGCAACACTTATTTACTGCTAATATATATTGAAGGGTTAAATGTTGTACTCTGTATAGACAAGCAGAGAGAGAGAGAGAGAGCAGCCGAACTGCCGGATGTAAACAAACCTTAATTTCCCGCGGCTTTTTTTTTTTTAAGGGGATTAGCCCACCCGGGCATAGGTCACTGACCCACATTGGGGCCTGAGGGGCAAAAATTTAATACTCCTGTAATAATAATAATAATTCAGATAAGTAAAAAAAAAAAAAAAAAAAAAAAAAAAAAAAAAAAAAAAAAAAAAAAAAAAAAAGAGCTGCCTATCTACCTATTGGACAAACTAAAGTCATTCCGGACCACGGGAGTTTCCGGACCACAGAATGCCGGACTAGAGAGGTACGACCTGTACAAATTTTAATAAAAAATGCACCAAAATAAAATAATAATGATAACAATAATAATAATAATAATAATAGTAATAATAATAATAATAAAATATAGTAAAATTACTAATAATAATAATAATAACACTAATACAGTAATAATAGAATATTAATAATAATAAAGAAATACAAGAATGAAAAAAAAGATCAAAAGTGAGAAACACGACCTAGACCTATGAATTGTTATTATTACTATAATTTTTATTATATTTTCGCCACCCACGCCCCAATATGGGTCAGCGACTTGTGCCCAGGTAGCCATTCTGAAAACCGAAAAATTCCGAAATGCGAAATGTCTTTAGCCCCAAGGATTTCGGAAAAGGGATTGTCAACCTGTACTAGACAGAGCAGCTTTACGATCTTCAAATGACTTCTGAGTTGCACTGTTCCATTTCCATGGTATCCCTTTCTTTAATAGTTCATGCAGAGGGGCTAAAACTGATGAAAGTCCACTCAAGAACCTTGAATAATACTGTATCATACCTAGGAAAGCTTTCAATTCACTGACATTTTTTGGAGCAGGTAAATTTACTATGGCTCTTACTTTATCTTCTACAGGTCTCAGCCCTTCTGCATTGACTTTGTAGCCAAGATAAGTTACTTCTTTAGCTAGGAATGAACATTTGCTCGTGTTGAGCCTCACATTGTGTGCCAACAATCTTTCGAATACTGTGGCTAGGGTTTTGACATGATTTTGGATGTCACTGTCAACAATAAGGACATCATCCTGAAAGCATAACACATTGGGAAGACCCACAAGAATTTTGTCCATGATGCACTGAAATAACTTTGGTGCACTTTTAACACCATAAGGCAACCTTTTGAACTTATACAATCCTTTATGAGTGTTGATGGTAAGGTACTGTTGACTTTCAGCATACACACAGACCTGAGCATATGCCTGGGACTAGTCTAACTTGGTGAAAATGGTTCCACCTGTTAGTGCAGCAAACAAATCTTGAGATGTGGGTAAGGGATATTGCTCATCCTCAACAGCTAGATTAATGGTAACTTTATAATCACCACATAGTCTAACAGATTTATCAGCTTTAGGTACAATTACTATTGGAGCAGCCCAATTGCTCTTGGCGGTTTTCACAATAATTCTCTCACTCACAAGTCTGTCTAATTCCTTCTCAACCTCACCTTTCAATGCATAAGGAACAGGTCTGGACTTAGCATATATGGGTGTAACATCTTTGTCAATGGTGATATGAGCTTCATAACCCTTTATACCATCCTGTCCCTTAACAAATAAAATCTTGTATTTTTCAAGCAATTTCTCAACACCTGGAATACTGTTACACATTCTAACACTAAATATCTCCTTCCAGTCCATCTCAAGTTCACACAACCTGTTCTTACCTAACAAAGTTGGTCTATTCACATAACTAGCTATAATTAATGGCAACTTTAATTTCTGATTTTTGTACTTTACCTCACACTCTAATTTACCTTCTGTGTTCAAAATCTCTCCAGTATAAGTTCTCAACTTGACACCTGAGTCTTCTAAAGGCACATGCGCAAGTAGTTTCTCATACATATCTTTACTCATTATGGAGAAATCAGCTGCAGTATCCATTTCCATGGTTACAGGTGTGTCATTAATACACAAGTCCACATTATACCTATGTTTAACTTTCTCTTCACGACTGGTGTAAATAGTAAACACATGGGCACTCTCATCATTATCAGATCCAAAATTACTAACACTCTCATGAATACTGTTTTTCATTTCCTTCTCTCCACCTTCAACGGCATATACTCTACCTTTATCACTTCTACAGGCAGGAGCAATATGTCCAATACGTTGATAGTTGTAACATTTTGAATTCTTAAACTTACACTGAAAGCTTTCATGTTTCCCTCGGCACCTCTTACATTTTAAATCAGCATGTGTTACTTGGTTTGTGGTATACTTATTCCTTTTAGCTACAGTTACTTTACACACTGAGCCACTACTGCCAACTGTTTCACTACCAACATTGGGAACAAATTCTCTTGGGTTTTTCTCGGCCAATTCCATGCCTGTAGCTATCTGACATGCACTTTCAAAAGTTAGTGGTGTTCATTAACTTATTCTGTATTTTTTCATAATTCAGGCCTTTTACAAATCTGTCTCTTAGAGCTTGGTTCAAGAACTGTCCAAAGTTACAGTGAATGGATAACTTCTTCAAAGCTACTATATAATTACTTACTGATTCATCTTTACCTCTATCTCTGGTGCCAAATCTGTAACTTTCAGCGATCTCAAGTGGAGCAGGATCAAAATGTGCTTCAGAATCTTGGTAATCTGAATCAGTGAGGAGTCCTTGGGTTTGTCTGGAGTAAGCAGATTGACCAGAGTAGAATAAACATTAGCTCCTACCTCTGTCAAAAAGATTGCTTTCCTTTTCTCTTGAAGGGCTTTCTTCTTCTGAGCATCACCACCGTCGTCCATTATTTCATTTGCCAGAAAGAAGAAGTCCATTCTCTCACAATATGATGTGAAATCTTCCTTGTCTGCATCACTCCCCCACTCATCCAATGTATCCACTGACTCCAGCCATGGTTGCTTTCTTCACTTAAATTCTCCAGGTTCAGAGTAGCCTTCCCTTCAGTGGTCACTATCCTCTCTTCAAGGACTTCACCAACACTTTGTGAATCCCATCCTCGTCGCCAGTGTAGTATCTTGCATTATTTAATGGGAGAATGACAAGCACATGGTCGGTCTGGCTGGGCGTTTTTTTTGTGTTCTTGGTTACAGCGTGCCTAACACATTTCGTGTTTACACAAGCCTAAACACTTTCTGACTTTGGTAAGAAGTAACATAATATATAATATATATATTCAATAAAGGCAGCATTTAAACATACATATATATAACATCATTAAGAACAGTTAATGTGTACTGTACTCAGAACTGCAGGGATACTCACACCATCCCACTATTCTCATCCCAAACTCTTCAGCCTTCAAGTACAGTACCCGACAGAATTACTGTACTGTACTAGCAGTTGATGACATCTGTTGTTTAATTGTTAGAAGAGAGTAAATATAAAGTATCATACCACACACAAGAATAAAGTGTTGTACTGTGCAGTATTTGACAACTTGTTACTTGGGGTCATGACAAATAAAGATGATCCAGGTACACACTTCCTGGAAAACCTTTATAAATGTAACATTTTAAAATTAAATAAATGTTCCTAAAGACTTGCACTATAAAACTGAGATCATTCTTACAAAAAATGATACAAAACAAAATTTATAATTTGGGGAGCAAGAACAAAAGTGTTTATTTTAGCATATTTTCTTTATTACTCTGACATGAGATCAAACTAAACACATGAGCTTCCCTTCATATAAAAGTAAGAGATGAACACAGGTACAGATACTGTACTGGGTCTCCTTGATAACACCATAAAGGATAACAGTTGTCAGACCTAGTATGCATTCTTACATTATGTGCAAAATACTGTACAGTCATACATGATGGACCCACCGTCATAAAGGGAAATGATTATGATATGATAACAGTGTAGAGTTTAATTGAAAATAGTTTTGTTCTTTTCCAGTTTGTGACGAGTTGCTCTAAGCCGCCACTCTTAGGATTTACACACTTAGAACCTCCATTTTCTATCCGCTGTGTTGAAGTTGGAGATGATGAAGACACAGGTAATGTATGGAGCTCACAGCTATATTGTCTTAACTGATTATGATCACTGTGTTGTACCATCTGGCCAGAGGACACTGGTGTGCTGTACCATCTGGCCAGAGGACACTGGTGTGTTGTACCATCTGGACAGAGGACACTGATGTGTTGTACCATCTGGCCAGAGGACACTGGTGTGTTGTACCATCTGGCCAGAGGACACTGGTGTGTTGTACCATCTGGCCAGAGGACACTGGTGTGCTGTACCATCTGGCCAGAGGACACTGGTGTGTTGTACCATCTGGCCAGAGGACACTGATGTGTTGTACCATCTGGCCAGAGGACACTGGTGTGTTGCCATAGAGGACACTGGTGTGTTGTACCATCTGGCCAGAGGACACTGGTGTGTTGTACCATCTGGCCAGAGGACACTGGTGTGTTGTACCATCTGGCCAGAGGACACTGGTGTGTTGTACCATCTGGCCAGAGGACACTGGTGTGTTGTACCATCTGGCCAGAGGACACTGGTGTGTTGTACCATCTGGCCAGAGGACACTGGTGTGTTGTACCATCTGGCCAGAGGACACTGGTGTGTTGTACCATCTGGCCAGAGGACACTGGTGTGTTGTACCATCTGACCAGAGGACACTGGTGTGTTGTACCATCTGGCCAGAGGACACTGGTGTGCTGTACCATCTGGCCAGAGGACACTGATGTGTTGTACCATCTGGCCAGAGGACACTGGTGTGTTGTACCATCTGGTGGACCATCTGGTGTGTTGTACCATCTGGCCAAGGACACTGGTGTGTTGTACCATCTGGCCAGAGGACACTGGTGTGTTGTACCATCTGGCCAGAGGACACTGGTGTGTTGTACCCATCTGGCCAGAGGACACTGGTGTGCTGTACCATCTGGCCAGAGGACACTGGTGTGTTGTACCATCTGGCCAGAGGACACTGGTGTGTTGTACCATCTGGCCAGAGGACACTGGTGTGTTGTACCATCTGGCCAGAGGACACTGGTGTGTTGTACCATCTGGCCAGAGGACACTGGTGTGCTGTACCATCTGGCCAGAGGACACTGGTGTGTTGTACCATCTGGCCAGAGGACACTGGTGTGTTGTACCATCTGGCCAGAGGACACTGGTGTGTTGTACCATCTGGCCAGAGGACACTGGTGTGTTGTACCATCTGGCCAGAGGACACTGGTGTGTTGTACCATCTGGCCAGAGGACGCACTGGTAATGTTGAACCATCTGGCCAGGGACACTGGTGTGTTGTACCATCTGTGCAGAGGACGCACAGTGTGCTACCATCTGGCAGAGGACACTGGTGTGTTGTACCATCTGGCCAGAGGACACTGTGTGCTGTACCACCTGGCCAGTGGACACTGGTGTGTTACCACCTGGCCAGAGGACACTGGTGTGTTGTACCATCTGGCCAGAGGACACTGGTGTGCTGTACCATCTGGCCAGGACACTGGTGTGTTGCACCATCTGGCCAGAGGACACTGGTGTGTTGTACCATCTGGCCAGAGGACACTGGTGTGTTGTACCATCTGGCCAGAGGACACTGGTGTGTTGTACCATCTGACATTGGTGTGTGAGAGTGTTACCATCTGGACAGTGGAGTGTGAGAGTGTTACCATCTGGACAGTGGTGTGTGAGAGTGTTGCCATCTGGACACTGGAGTGTGAGAGTGTTACCATCTGGACATTGGTGTGGAGTGTGTTACCATCTGGACATTGGTGTGGTCTACCATCTGGACAGTGGAGTGTGAGAGTGTTACCATCTGGACACTGGAGTGTGAGAGTGTTACCATCTGGACATTGGTGTGTGAGTGTGTTACCATCTGGACAGTGGTGTGTGAGAGTGTTACCATCTGGACATTGGTGTGTGAGAGTGTTACCATCTGGACAGTGGTGTGTGAGTGTGTTACCATCTGGACAGTGGTGTGTGAGAGTGTTATCATCTGGACATTGGTGTGTGAGAGTGTTACCATCTGGACATTGGTGTGTGAGTGTGTTTCCATCTGGACAGTGGTGTGTGAGAGTGTTACCATCTGGACATTGGTGTGTGAGAGTGTTACCATCTGGACATTGGTGTGTGTGAGTGTTACCATCTGGACAGTGGAGTGTGACATCTGGACAGTGGTGTGTGAGAGTGTTGCCATCTGGACATTGGTGTGTGAGAGTGTTACCATCTGGACAGTGGAGTGTGAGAGTGTTACCATCTGGACAGTGGTGTGTGAGAGTGTTGCCATCTGGACACTGGAGTGTGAGAGTGTTACCATCTGGACATTGGTGTGTGAGTGTGTTACCATCTGGACATTGGTGTGTGAGAGTGTTACCATCTGGACAGTGGAGTGTGAGAGTGTTACCATCTGGACACTGGAGTGTGAGAGTGTTACCATCTGGACATTGGTGTGTGAGTGTGTTACCATCTGGACAGTGGTGTGTGAGAGTGTTACCATCTGGACATTGGTGTGTGAGAGTGTTACCATCTGGACAGTGGTGTGTGAGTGTGTTACCATCTGGACAGTGGTGTGTGAGAGTGTTATCATCTGGACATTGGTGTGTGAGAGTGTTACCATCTGGACATTGGTGTGTGAGTGTGTTTCCATCTGGACAGTGGTGTGTGAGAGTGTTACCATCTGGACATTGGTGTGTGAGAGTGTTACCATCTGGACATTGGTGTGTGAGAGTGTTACCATCTGGACAGTGGTGTGTGAGTGTTACCATCTGACAGGTGTGTGAGAGTGTTACCATCTGGACAGTGGTGTGTGAGAGTGTTACCATCTGGACAGTGGTGTGTGAGAGTGTTACCATCTGGACAGTGGTGTGTGAGAGTGTTACCATCTGGACAGTGTGTGTGTTACCATCTGGACATTGGTGTGTGAGAGTGTTACCATCTGGACAGTGGTGTGTGAGAGTGTTACCATCTGGACAGTGGTGTGTGAGAGTGTTGCCATCTGGACAGTGGTGTGTGAGAGTGTTACCATCTGGACATTGGTGTGTGAGAGTGTTACCATCTGGACAGTGGAGTGTGAGTGTTACCATCTGGACAGTGGTGTGTGAGAGTGTTACCATCTGGACATTGGTGTGTGAGAGTGTTACCATCTGGACATTGGTGTGTGAGAGTGTTACCATCTGGACAGTGGTGTGTGAGTGTTACCATCTGGACAGTGGAGTGTGAGAGTGTTACCATCTGGACAGTGGTGTGTGTGTTACCATCTGGACATGGTGTGTGAGTGTTACCATCTGGACAGTGGTGTGTGAGTTACCATGGACAGTGGTGAGTGTTACCATCTGGACAGTGGTGTGTGAGAGTGTTACCATCTGGACAGTGGTGTGTGAGAGTGTTACCATCTGGACAGTGGTGTGTGAGAGTGTTACCATCTGGACAGTGGTGTGTGAGAGTGTTACCATCTGGACAGTGGTGTGTGAGAGTGTTACCATCTGGACATTAGTGTGTGAGTGTCACCATCTGGACAGTGAGAGTGTTAACCTGGCCTGTTCTATATTATTGTATATTGTAGGGCCTGGGAAAACACTTCTGTAGACTGTGTGGGTAGAGAGTTAGTAAGTACTGTCTGTCCACTAGAGGATGTCTGGTTGTCTCCAGCCTCTTGGATGTAACTACTGTGTATTCCATGTATTTTTTCACAGCATTTTATTCCTTTCCATGAACCTTGTGAAATTTCTTTAGACTTGCTGGTAAAATTGAAAAAAAAATTATTATGGAGAGCATTTTTCAGTGTCTTAAAATCATACATTGAACATGATGCAAGACTTACCCTTGCCAGTTGTCTGTTTGTGTGTTATGGTTCACTTTTTCCACTCGCACTCTACAAGAAACAAAATAAACTTCAAGGGATTTTGTAAACATCTAGAACATTTTATCGGGGTTGGATAAACAAGTATAGAATCTTCCAGCTAGTAGAATATTTAACTTTAATTTGTGTTTCCTCAGGTGACACCATTGGCAGCGTCATCCGAGGCTTCTTTGCCATACGTAAACGTGATCCTGTGAACCGCCTTCCTACGTCATCCACTTGCTTTAATCTTCTTAAACTGCCAAATTACCAGCGGAAAAGTACTCTCAGAGACAAATTACGTTATGCTATTACTAGTAATACAGGATTTGAGTTGTCCTAAGATTGCTATAAGAACTAAGTAAGAAGAATATTCTCTTAAAATTTATACTCATTTGTATGCATTTTTTTGTTATTGAAGTGTTGGGTGTTCCAGTACAGTGCAATACCTTACATTATTGTACAGTACATTATACTGTAGTACAGTACAGTACAGTATTGTGAAAGTGAACATCTGCTGTAAAAGGTTTTAATGTATTGCCTTCCCTATTACAGTAAATCCTCTGTTTACACCAGGGATACATTACACCTGACCCTCGCTTTATGCTATGGCTGTGTTCTGTGACAACACAGCATAATGGGAATCCACATATAGTGAATAATTAATCTTATGGGGAAAATTAGAATATGTTCTACAACTACTAAAAGTCAACAGAAATGCTATAAAGGTTGTGAAAAAATTATAACAATACTCTAATGTTGGTTAGAAATGAAGATAATTTAATATAAAACTATAAATTAAGACATATGAAGAGCATTAGTGTTTGTGTGGAAAGTGAAAGCGTGTGTAGTGGCTGACTCACCACTCCAGCCACGTCCCATGACGTCACATACAGTACAGTACACACGCACACACACTGTGCCACATTTCACAACCTTTTTTGAAGCATTAGTGTTATAAATGTTGTAGAATAATCATTAAAATACTCTAATGTGGCTTAGAAATAAATATACTGTAATATAATATAATATAATATAATATACAGTAATATAATGTAATATAATATAATATAAAATAAAACTAGTGCACCATATCTTCTACAGAATGCTTAATAGGGAATCTTTTCTGCATAAAATGCATTATGGGTAGAAATGGGTCGCCAGTATCAACGTAAATTCACATATAGTGAATGAGCATAAAGCAAGGGTCCAGTGTACTGGCAAATATGACGTTGAGTCAAACAAAGTAAATTTAACATTATTTTTACCCTTGAATTCATAACAAAAAATCAACTTACATTCCTTGGGGTCATCTTTTGGTCAAAATTTGAAGAAAAAATATAATTTAACACCCAAAAATATATTATAAAATGTTTTTAATATCTCTGCTTTATGTTATTCTATCAACAGTTAACCCTCTCATGGTCTTTCTATGTTAGTGTCCTGTGCTGGCCCAAACCCCCCGCTTGGCCGTATCTCACACTGAGAGCATCCCATCCATAAGCAGAATGCTAGAACAGTCCTATCAACCACCTAAGTTCCTCCAACTAGCATTATGGGCTGGCAGATGCATCTATAAGGGTGCAATTTGGGTCTGATATCTCTACACAGTGTTTAATAAAATGGAAAATGGTTCCTGTTACCATCGCAACCTGCGTCAAAAGACCGCAAGGAGGTGAAATTGTAAACTCTATTTGCGGTGAAGACCGTGAGGCTTTGTCACCAGAGGGTTAACACTGATTGCTAAGGGTTCCCTTCAGCTAAATAGAATCTTATGACGTTATCCCGAATAAAATCCTTAAAGTCATTGATAGCGCTCGGAGGGTTAATGAAGTTACACTTTAAGTGTACAGTTTTCTCTTATTTTATCAACATTAGCATTATCACCGGGGTAACTGATCACTCTGCCAACATCCACAGCTCAATTCTCCATCATCACACCATTTTTAGCTCATCAGTTTTTACCTCTAAATTAATGGTTTACCTCTGGTCTTCTTTTATGCTGGGTATCACTGGTCATGTACTGTACAGAGCTTTACTAAGTTTAACAAGTGAAAAATCACAGTAAATGTACAAGACTCATTAAATGGATCTTAACCATTTGCTGACACCACTGATCCTGAGTCTGTAATGGACCCAGACAGGGTAGTGTAGAGGGCACAGTTGGACCATCGAGTGTATCTTTGGTTTACGTAAACTTTTAATTCAAACTACCAGTATAGTAATTAAACAATTGTGTTTAATAGGACAGGATAAAACTTTAATAATACTGTACAGAAAACAATGTGTTGGTGTTTTATTAGTACAGTACAGTAATTACAGAATATGCACAAGACCTTATTATTGTTAAAGAAAATTTGATTAATACAGTACAGTGCAGCACTGTATATATAGTGCATACTCACCATTACTCTACCTTGGATGAGCTCTAGCAAAGCTAGTGATCACTTTATTTATGCAAATGTTTATGTTTCTATAAACATTCAACAAGGAGAGACCATGTAATGTGTCTTGTTTTACTGTAGAGCGCAAGTAACTTTGGGGATTCCTCACTTGACTGAAGGAACACTCACATGAAGTGACTGGTAAGGTTGCACTGACTTGCAGGATAATATATATGTTGGGGTAGAATAAAAGGGAGGTTTGCCTGAATGTAGCTGTCAGGCTGTTGGGCAGGTCACACTCCCAAGCATTCCATTTCAGCTGTTTCAAGACACTCTGGTGAAGGAAGATCACTGACTCTTTGTACTTCAGAACCTTTATTCCTCCATTCTGAGTCATTCATCAATAAAGATAAATAAGAGAGAGCCCCAGAAGAGCTTGTTGTTGACCTAGTGAGAAACAAGTTTTGAGTTCACATACCAAATAGTCAATTAAAGGAATTGCGATGATGCAATGGAGATATTCATTGGGGGAAACTACTGGCATGTTAGGTGTCAATATCGTGTCCTTGAAGGCTTACACTGAGAGGTTTTATATAACCAAGTACATTGAAGCACATAGTAAGTGACAATGGAAATTCACTTTACATAATTGCAAGGAACAGTAATTTTCCTTTAAAAATGGACTCCAAGTTCTATGATTCTCTGCCCTCACCAATATTTAGCATAGTTTCTGAGAGCACATATTGACTACAGTAAAACCCCGAGTACTGGACTAATTAAGCCACAACTATGTCGTTACTCAGGCGTCCGTATCAGCAGGGAGGCACAACTGTTCAAAACAACAGCCAGCATATTACACTAACACATCTTGGCTTATTTAAGTTCATAATAAATTTGTTCAAGTAAAATAATCATACTTCTGATAAACTTTCAGTAAACTCCATTGTTTTATATTGAAAGTGTTAATAGATGTAGGTAAGATTCTTGATTCTAGAAGCTTTCAGAGCAGCAAAAAAAGATTCTTGAAGGTTCCCGAGTCCTGACGTACGTATGTATGTGGCATTGACGGCCATGTGCAGTGTAAGATGACGTGGATGTGTACAGTATACCTCGGGCAATGAAGTGGATACGTTCACGTAATTCATTTTAATCTCATAAACTACGTTGTCATAGGTAGATTTAACAGTGAGTAAAAGAATATAGGTTCCAGTCCTTCATTATTCTGTATTATGCATCCCCCCAGAAATGGACAAAAATGCTATAATTAGCAGTGAAAATAATATATAGCACATCATAAAATACAATAGCATCCTATGGATGATGTCGAGAGTTGGGGGAGTTCAGACAGCCAACCGAGTTGAGAGACGTATGGCTGTGACGTCACTTTTGGGAGAGCATGATATATCCACACATACATTCACCTCCCACAGAGAATACTGGACTGGTCACACTCATGCCCTTCATTTATCTTTTTTATAGTTTTATATTATATTTCCATTATTTCTAAGTCACATTAGAATACTGAAATGATTTTCCCACAACTTTGCCAGTTTCATCCCATGAATCAGTGGCAACATGCATAGCCATCTCAAGGCCACAGCTGTTATGTACTGTAGTGAAGATTATGTGGTTGGGTATAGGGAACCACTTTCACTTTCAGTGGAGATGAAGTGGATCACATTTATGATGTGCTTACAGTATTCAGAGTTATTTTTCATTTATTGTAGTGTATGAAAGAAAGAACCCATAATTTATATACAGTATATATTTAGATATACAGTAGAGTCTGCATTTACGCGGTCAATTGAACCCGTGGAGGTCCGCGTAAAACGAGAAACGCGTAAATGAAATAACAAAACATGGGATTAATTGAAATAGAGACTGGGCCGACCCCCAACTACACTTTTTCCGACACAATACCTACGTTGTAGTAAAAATAACATCTTAATTTTATGATGGTATGCACACTCAATTAATATTTAAGAGAAATACAGTCGCCAGGTTAATGTCCATTCAAATAATGGAATCAACTACCCCCCCCCCCCTTCCCATGCTCACTGGCTCCTCCCTCTCTGAGAAATGTGTGGGTGAAAACACTAGGTTTTAAGGTATAGTAATAAATAATACCTCAGACTAAAGTTAGGATAATATAATTGACATTGCTGGATTCCTTGCAGGACGGAATATTTTGAATGTTAACGTTATATTTTGCACAAAAGATAAAATTTTTGCTCATTTTCATCATCTAATTAAATTACATAAAAAATTTGTATGTCTAATGCAAATTTTAGGATGTTTATATTTAAAATGATCACCATCTTGTAAGAATTCCAGCAATGTAAATTATATTCTGGCCGGGTAATTTGTATGAATTTTATGAGCTAAAAACAAATTTCTTCAGTAAATAAACAAATTATACTTCACCCAGACACTATCTGTCAATCAAAATACCCCACCTCCGCTCCCCCCCTCTTCCCACGCTGCTGGGTCCCTCCCTCCCTCCCTACCCCCCCCACCTTCCATCCCTACCAGAGAAATGGTTTGGGGAAAAACAGTATATTTACATTTTTAGTAATAAATAATACCTCAGACTAAAGTTAGGATAATATAATTGATATTGCTGGATTCCTTGCAGGACAGGGAATATTTTGAATGTAAACGTCATATATTTTGCACAAATGATAAAATTTTTGCTCATTTTCATCATCTCCTTAAATTACATCTAAAATTTGTATGTCTAATGCAAATTTTAAGATGTTTATATTTAAAATGATTACCATCTTGTAAGGATTCCAGCAATGTAAATTATATATTTTATGAGCTAAAAACATATATATCATCAGTAAATAAACAAATTATAATTCACCCGCGTAAATGATGAAATTTACCGCGTAATTAAAACATTTCATTCTGGCAAGGTGCCGCGTAAATGACCAAACGCGTAAACAAAAACCGCTTAAATCCAGACTCAACTGTAGGCTCAAGATGGCAGCATCTGCTGGTGAGTACAGTATAGTACAGTAGTATACATTATTTTGTTAATTTACAATATATTGTACATGTACAGAGGTGTTTGTGTAAATAAATAGAGCCTTGCGTTATACGTCGTTTAAATACTGAAATGATGGAAAATTCCACTGTCTTAGCTCTGGCTCACAGGAACATTCATGCCTCACACACCCGTTCATATAGATTTTTATTTATTTTTTTAATGTATTTATTTAACCAAACTTTTAGATAAACTACAGAGTATTCAGGATTATTTTGCTAAAAATAATGGTGTTACTAACTTAATTAAAATTGATTTCATAGACTCCGGTATCAACATTTCTCAAGTTTTTCAATAAAAGAATTGACTCCCCATCATTATACCATGCTGAAATATTTTGTTAAACGATCTTTTATTGGAACAGTATTGTAGAGATTTTATTAAAGATCATTATGATACCTAATTCATCTATATAACAATATTAGAACAGAGACAGACTCTGAATAAAGGTTTATACACTTTTTCGCTAGCCGTAAATAATTTTGCTTGTGCCCGTTGTCTAAATGCAATTGGAGAGTGTTTGTCCGTGGGGAGATGACATGTGTAGTTTACTCTCCAAGACTATGGAAAACTTTCACCGGCACCCAGATTCATTCCAGGGATGTGCGATCGTGTCTGTCCGTGCGAGATGCCTAGTTTAGACTCGGAAACTTTTCCCAATATCCGGAAAAATTCCAGGAACGAAATGGGGGAGCTCGGCTCGCTGTCTTGTGTCCCATATTTTTTATTTATCCCTCACATTTACTAGTACTGTACAATATACAGTACACGTATTTCATTTTATTTACAAGGAATAGCTTCTTCCACACACAAACCATCCTTTGGGCGATGTGACACAGTATAACTGCTCAGCCTGGCAGTGACCGGGGGATGGGCAGAGCCTCCCACACAACCCACATGTTACGCCGTTCCAAGACTACGTCATCAAATCTCGTAATATTGCTCGTTATTGCACGTCACTTTCATAGCAGTGACAATCCAGGAAAAGCATTTAGGTGGCGACAATCATAAAACTGATCTTAGGCATCACATAGCGGTAAATGGCATTAATATTTTAACATTGTAAAACTGATCGATCGTATATAGATCCATCGTATGACGGCCAACACCTGTATTTTATATCTCTGTCAAACTTGCTTAAACTCTTTAGTTATTAGAGTTTGTTACTCTGAGAGATACAGCAGACTTCCTTACAGTGTAAATGTATCTTGTACAATTTAAAGTAAGCCCTTTGGAGTGCCACAGTGGCCACAGGTTCACTATGGCTACACTGTACTAGAGTGAACAGGATGACCACAGGTTCATTATACCTGCACTGTGCTACAATGGCCAGGATGATCACAGGTTTTCTATACCTACAATGGCCAGGATGGCCACAAGTTCACTATACCTGTCATGTGCCGCAATGGCCACAGGCTCTCTATACCTGCACTGTGTCACAATGGCCAGGATGGCCACAGGTTCACTATACCTACAATGGTCAGGATGGCCACAAGTTCACTATACCTGTCATGTGCCACAATGGCCACAGGTTCACTATACCTACAATGGCCAAGATGACCATAGGTTCACTATACCTGCACCACACTTTTGTTACCCACAGTACACTACACAGTATACATCATGTGCACCACCACCACTGTCTTTTACTATATTGTTCACTTCAAACCTTACACAATATTTGTGAATTTCATCAGACCCCATTTTTTTTTTTTTTTCAGAAATGCAAATTTAATATTATGTAAAATTAAATTTGTACCCTAATTTGTAAGTTCTGTACACTGTACTGTATAGTATACAGATTACCACGCATCAGGCGACCTTTGATCAAGAGAACCTGTAAAAGAACACTGTATTTGATAGGAATTTTGTGATGCATTTTTTAGTGTTGTTTTGTCATGAGATGGGACCAAATTTTTCCTTGTTGGAGCATATTGTCAGTTATATTCTGTACTGTACTGTACTGTACTGTACTGTACTGTACCTTATTGGTTGTCAATGCCTAGGAAGATTATTTTTAGGTAATTTTGAGATTCATTAACATTTCAGGAATAAATTTGTGATATTAAAAGAGGAAAAACTGAGGTTCACATTTATTGTTTTCTTTAAATCACTAATTAATATTTGTTCAAGACAACTGTGCAGTGAATCAATGCGAGTTATACACAATTATTGCCCTAAAATTTGTCAGTGATGTTCTAGTAAAGTAAATTAAGTACAACCAATGTAAATAGATGAGTTACTGTACAGTACTGTACACTGAACATGACCTAAAACATGTGGTGTGTATACTACTGTGTACACTATACTGTACACTAGTGGCTGGAGAGTTTCACTGGTAAACTTTTATCATTTATAAATTAAAGGTTAACAAAGTTTATTTTTGCAGGTAAATATCTTTTTCATGTATCATTAAAGTACAGTATGTAATAAAATCTTTAAGTATACTATTGTGTATGAATGAGAGTGTTGAGGATGAGTATTAAATATTTGTAATGAGTAATTTTATGTACAGTGTTCAGGTCGTCTTTGGATTTATTGTTCACTATAGTGTGGAAGAGTAACTTGTGCAGAAATGGAAAGTGAAATATTTACTTAATAAATAGTACAAAGTTATATCACTCACTTGTATATGATGTAATGAAATACAGTATAACTAAAATGTTCTCTTGATGTCATCTTCATTGGAGGTAATATTGAAGCTTGTCAGGTATGAGGGTAATAGAATGACACAACATAGTCCTTCACTCACTGCTGGTTGTATACTGTTGCATCTTAACATAATTACAATTACCCTGTACAGTATTGTTCATCATTTCTATTTTTCCTATAGATAAGTAAGAAACATATATTTATTATTGAGCATTTAAGGTCTCCATGTAATAATCAAAACATGCATACTTTTGTTTTGACTATGTAGAGGTACAGTATTAGGAAGCTAGGTTAGGTCAGGTCAGGTTGATGATGATGTTCATCTCGCCTCACGCCTCACTAGCAAACCAGAGGTATGTAGCATGTGGTGTTTGTGTGCTGGGATGTGGCTAATAATTACCATACTACTGTATATTAAAAAGAAAGTTGTGCATGAGATAATACAAACAATGATGGAAAAGTGAAGCAGTAGTTGACTGTGTGCAATATATTGGTGAATGTTTCTCAGCTTAACTAAACACATATAGTTTCATTAGTGTAAGTGAAAGAAATTAGTAAAATTTTGGGAGCCTTATTAGAGAATAAACACAGATGAAGCACTTACCTGACTTCCATCACCAAACCTCATAAAAGTGAAAGTGGGCCTGGTGGGCAATTAGGTGCAGTGCTGACTAAACCTAGTTTTGGTACACATGGAGGCAACATGGTTGGCTTTACAATTGACCGTTTTTGTTATCCCTAACTGTAAAGCTTGGTATCCATACATAGCTGAGAAGACTGGGGATGAAGCCATGGCTGTGAGGACAGACAACCAGTGCTCTAACCAAATGGCCCCTGCACTCCAGACCTTATATGTGTGTGTGTTATATGTACAGTACTGTATATGAGTCTACTTACTCATCAGTAAGTTAATTGTCTCTGCATTATCTTCACTGATTGTCAACTCCTCCACATCTCTGCAATGTTTAAGAGGAACAGCCACCTACTATGCCTTGATGGAGTTCACATAAGCAACAATAATTAACCCCAATGGTCCAGTGAACAGCTGTTTATCATGAATCAGTAATACTTGGACACATTTCAGAAAATTTGGTGTACGTACATTAGTTTCTTTGTGTGAATGTCTGTGTCTGTACAGTGGTCCCTCGGTTA